ACAATCGTTAATTATTATATAATCAAATAGTTATATTAATCTAATTTGTTATTTACTATATGCTATCTACTTTTTATTATTTGTCACCCATTATTTGCTTATCATCATTTGTTATCTACTAACCACTACCTGCTACCATTGTCTGTTTTCTACTTTTTGTTATTTGCCACCCGTTATTTGCTTACCATCACCCATTATCTGTTAACTACTACCTACCACCATTATCTGTTAACTACTACCTACTACTATTATCTATTATTTATTATTTATTACCCATTATCCACAACTCATTGCCTTCTATTTGTTGAATTTTAAATTTTTTTTTAATTTTTCTTTATCATTTTAACATAACCAAACAAGAGAAAGGGAGGAAGGAAGTGAAGGAAAATGGAAAAATATTGTCTCACCTCTTTTTTGATTCCCTCAAATCAAGTAGAGAGTTAGAAAATGAGTGTCAATAAATTTAAAATTTAAGTTTTGAGATATAATACATAAGCAAATAATTAGAAGATAAATTGTTTATTTAATTTTTTTTATATAATTTTATATATCATTTAATAATTATTTTATTTATTTTAGGACTTATAATATTTAATATATTTACTTATTTAATAATATATAAAAATTATATAAAAATTTATCTCTGTATCATTATCCTAATTTATATCAATTAAGCAAATTTAGTTTCCTTAAATGCAACTCTTAAAATCTCTCTTATTGTTCATTTAACTTAATTTAGATGCAAGTGTATTTTTTTTTAATAGATTCAAGTGTAAATGATGTTACTATTATTGTTCCTTCCATAAATCCACGTTTCCATTTACAGCAAAAGCCATCACCTAATTTCAAAAAGAAATTTACAGCAAAAGACAGAATCAAGTACATTAATGATTCCCACAAAAAAAAAAAAAAGTACATTAATGGTAGAAAAATGGAGAGTCAAGTGGTGAAACCGTAAAAGCATTTGGTTGGAGGGAATATGAATATCCGTCCAAAGATGCCTTGCAGTGTTAATCTCAACAACCAAAACGGTGAATAAAAGGGGTTACTGATTCATAAGAATGTTAGAAAGTACCGAGTTTGAGCTTTTTTTTTAATTATTTTTTTGGTACAAAACCCTCAAATAAAATATTTCTTTAAATCATTAATTAAAATAAAATATTTATTATTTAATATATGACGGTATCAAATATTATTTTTTTTGGGTTAAAAATACTTAAGTAGCAATTAGATTTTTAATATGTAATGACATCACAAATTAAATAATGAATTATTTATTTTAATTGATAAAAGTGTAATTTACCTTGTTTTGGAGCAAATTTGTTTATATTCTCATATTTAAAGAGCAAATTTGAAAGTTATATTATTTTTTCAGATAAGGAATGATATAAACAAAATACAATAATCTTTTTTATTTATCATTTTTTTGATATATAGTTATCATTTTTAAGATTTGAATATAATACATTCAATATGAAAATTTAAGTTTTTAATTACTAAGACATTTTCATAAAACTTTTAGAAAGGTTCGAACTTTAGGCATGACTATGGTCATGTGACAACGTGTTAAAACTATACAAATTTTTAAATATTAATTTTATCTAATCTGACAATTAAAAATAACTAATGATTGTAACTATTATTATCATTTTTTTTGAATAAGTACAAATTTAGGGAAAAAAAAATTTGAACCCAATATTTAAAGTTAAAAGTGCACTTTCTACAAAAATTTATAGTGAATTGGCTTTTCTAAGCCAGGCGCACAACAATTATTATCTAATAGCAAGTTAGAAAAAACTAATATTTTATACTTAGTATTAGTTTAAAATTAATCTTTATCTTTTCAAATACTATAATTAATTATTTATGAAAATGTTCTGAGTTTTATTTTAATTAACAAATGGCAATATTTGCATGGCGGCGTCAGAAGATCCAACTGAATTTCAACTTCCTTAAAAATTTTCAAACTGATTTTCTTTCTCCAATTAGTTGAGAACTGCTGTCTGTGATTCCTTGCAAATGGCAATCAACTGTTATTTCTTTTTAATTTTTTATATGGTAACATAAATAAATTTTTTTTATGGTTTAAATTATATTAAATTACAAAATAAAAATTATTAAATAAGAAAAGTTCAAATATCAAGAAACTCACTTCTAGTCTAACAATTTATGTTGTATAATTTAAACTTTAAAATAGTTTTCTCATTTAAATATTCATACCTTTCTTTGATTATGCATCATAAATTATTATTATTATTTTAATATTCAACTGATGACTAAAATTAAAAAAATATATATAAGTAAAAAAAAATAATAGTATTTTGTGGTATGTATTATCTAACTATTCTTTTAAGTTGAAGGGAATGGAGAGGAAAGGAATTATATCTTTTTGTTTTCTTCAACTCTTTTTTCTTCATTTAGATAAATAGATAAATTAAAAAATAAAGTAAAAGACTTTCTTCTAATTTGTATGATAACTTAAAAAGAAACAAAAATTTTTTCCACTCTATTTCCCTCAATTTAAACATAAAGAAAAAAAAAAACCACTATACTCCTTTAATGAATGGGCCTTGTGAATTCAATAACGGCTCTTATTAATCATAAAAGTGAGGTTTTTATTATTCAAATTAATTTCACACAAAATTTCATGTTATATTCATAAATTTTTATAGATTAAAAGAAACAATATTATATTATATTTTATTTCCCTCAATTTAAACAAAAAAAAAAAAAACACTATACTCCTTTAATGAATGGGTCCTTGTGAATTCAATAAGGACTCTTATTAATCATGAAAGTGAGGTTTTTATTATTCAAATTAATTTCACACAAAATTTCATGTTATATTCATAAATTTTTATAGATTTTAAGTATAAATATTATATTATATTTTATTTAAAATTTACATAAAATTAATTATAAATATTATAATTAATGATATTTAAGTTGTATTATAAAAATACAAATTAAGAAATCTCTATCAAAAATAAAGATAATAATTCTATTTCAACCTGTAGGGGACAAGTAGCTAGATCTGCCAACTTCTCCCGAGAATGCTGCAACCAAACACAGCCTACTGCTAATCTCCCATCTACTAGTTTAAGGTCTGAAGCTCCCCCTTGGAAATTGAGTTGCACCTAAACTCGATCCATTGCTTCAATTATTTAGCTGCCTTCCTTGTTTTATTATTCTATTTTTTATAAGGAAATTTTTACCTTTTGTCTTACTTTTAGATATTAAAAATGTATTTATTATAATTTTTAAGATAATTTATATTAAAAAAATTT